CCCACCCAACCTACGCCACAGATGAGTCCGCTCAATAGCCGCAGTCTGATGCCGCTTTTATTTTTCAGATCCCAGCAGTGCGCCTCCTGGTGGAATTCAGATCATGAACTGTGTGGCCATCTTGTCGACAAAATCGAAGACCAAGTTCTTCATCGAATTCCATTCCAGTTTCTTGGAGAGTAGGTTTCCTCTTTCTGATTGACCGCATCTCATTAGATTCTGCTTTAAAGGAACAGTTTGCCTCAAAATCACATAAAAATCATGCTTCCTCTGGACTGTAAGTGCTGTCTATGAGTCACAGTCAGAATGCAATGGACACTGATGGCACTCAAAGGGAAACAAATTGAAAAAGCAAACACTAAACACTCAAATCTGTAAAAATACAAAGAATCCTGCCACCAGGTGACAAATACACTTTCCTGAAACCACAACTTTATTACTCAAAAATCCCCCACAAGCCTGGCTGTGAGACAATTCTCCTGGGAGTTGTTTTCTCTTTGGTGAGCTACACCCACTCGTAGTACCACTGTGCAGAAATCAGTGTGCACCTACCCGTGCCGAGAAGCCGCTGCTCACAGTGTGACAGGATGTAAACATTAATACTGCCGTGTCAGCTAGCTGCACACTTCTTCTGGTCGATGTGTGTAGACACTAGAGAGAAAATACTTCCTACATTAAACTGCTTACTCTATTTAAAGTAGACCAATTCCTCTCCTTTCCAGTTCCATGCTCTTATTCTGGGACTCTACTAGAGGAGCTTTGCATTGTTCACAATGCAAAATAATCTTTTAATTTTTTAAATTTTTATTTATTTATTTATTTATATTTTATTCATGCTTGAAATGAACTGTTTTAACCTTGAAGCCCACCTTCGCTGTGCCTGAGATTATATGTTATCTACTCTTACTGATGTCATGCACAGCCAAGATCTTTGCAGTAGACTTCTCAAAACAAAGGGAAAAAGGTTACACCAAAAACTATCAATATGAATAAACAGCACTGCAGGCCAGAGCATGCATGTATGTATGCATGAATATTGGGTGAAGTGTCTCATCAAACGGGCTACAATGACTAAAAGCAAGCATTTCCAACAGAAACTGTAAAGACTACAGAGGGAGAGAACAGCGAGCACTCCGATGGGTCTATAAAAGTTTGGTTTGGCAACCAAGTAGAGGTAAACCACAGACACAGCTCACAGCACACACTACTTAGTTATGGCATCAGTCAGTCGTTATTCATAGTCATTGTTTCTGTCTTTTAAAGCTGACCCCTATCATCTCTGACCCTGAGTACCTTCTGGACCAGCACATCCTGATATGCGTGAAGTCGACGGACAGCGACGAGTCGTACGGTAATGAGCTCGCATTACAGCTTGTAATTTGGATACGGTGGGCTCAGCAGCACTTACAGTTTGCTGGTGTGTTATCCCTAAAGGAGAGGGCTGTGTCGCGCTGCGAGCCGCTGAGATCAGCTACACCGAGTTTCAGATCACACTGACTCACCACGGGGAGAAGACGGGAACACTGACAGGTGGCATCCAGCTACGCACCTCTGAGGGCAAGCCCACCGAGAAGCTATACGGTGAGGCTGAGCTTCGACACAGGACGTATTTGTTCGATTTTTTTCTTCTTCGGTTCTTGAAGCTTTGTTCTCATTTTGGTTGTTTTTTCAGATTTCATCAAAATTGAAAGGGATGACCCCATCGCCTCAAAAGGCAAATCTGGAGACCTCAATAAGTAAGATTTGGGGGGGTTTTGTGAACCTGTTATGCATTCCCTCATGTTCTGTCATGGCTCGTTACGTATAAAATCAACCACATCCGAAAAACATTCTCACCCTCAAAATCTGTTGTTTTATTTCAGGAAAATAACTTCAATTTATTGAATGAAGTCATGCAGAAATGTATCTTTTTGCTGTGAAGATTTTTCCAGCATTTTTAACCCATCATAACTTCATAAGAGCAGGAGATGTGCTATGGCTGAAAAACATATTTAACCTCTGCAAACAAATGAGTTTTACACACACTGGCAAAAAGTCAAAGTTTTATTCAGCACAGATTTTTTTTTCTGTACCTGACTTGGAGCATCACCAGTTCGATGTCTTTCTTTGACAAAGCTTTGAGAAAGCTTCAAAAAGTGTAATATGGTTAATTTCTCTAATCACCCTGTGGGATAGGTCTAATATGGTCAACATTTTTGTGTAGCTTATGATCGCCCTCTGTGATTAAAGTCATTCAAAGAGTTTGAAAAACCTCTTCAGAACCTGAAAATGTTTGGTCAATGTCCATCTGTAAAGACTATCATATGGAACATGTGCACACCGGAGTTTAAATTGAATTTACAGCCATAAACCACACTTACAAGTGTTAAAATATGACTGTGGGAGAAAGTTTTGTGACATAGATGAGCCTGTTGCACGGAAGTTGATCCATTTTTAATACTTTTGAATCTTTGCGATATACGGGACATCATATATTGCTGTTTTCTAACAATCATCTGATGGGTGGCTGTAGGATGACTTTGAAAATCAAGAAGAGGAAGTAAGTGAAGACAGGGCTAGGGATTAAATGGTGGAAGAATTATGCGTAGAGTTCAGGCTGGAGTTGAGACAGGCTCTGGGTGGTAGGGAAGAGTTACAAATGACTGGAAAAGTAGAGTAATGAAGAAGTAGTGAGGGAAACTTCTAGGAAGGTGTTGGACGTATCCTTTGGTCCTGATGACATAGCTGTGGAGGTGTGAAGATGGAGGACAGGGGACTTTCTCACCAGATTGTTTCACATCATCCTGCAAAGTGAGAGAATGACCGAGGAAGGGAGAAGAGGTTAACCAGCACCAATTTTCAAGAACAAGGGTGACGTGCAGATCTCTATCTACAGGGGGATAAAGATGATGTGCCATACCATGAAGATAAGGGAGAAAGTTGTTGAAGCTAGTTAAGAAAAGAGGCGATGATCAGTGAGCAACAGCAGCTTCATGCTGAGAAAGAGCTCTACAGATGGGATGTTTGTTTTAAGATGTTGATGGAGAAGTGTGGATGGGAAGGTCAGGGCGAGCTGCACTGTGCCTTTGCGGATCAGAGAATATGATAGGCTGATGATAGGGTGCCAAGACAGGAACTGTGGTACTGATGGGCTCATGGTGGGGGTGGGATTACATCATAGATCAGCTCTGAGCTCCTTCTTGTTTGCAGTGCTGATGGAGAGGCTGACAGATGAGGTCAGGCGGTCGTTGTATACGTGATATTTGCAGATAAGACTGTGATCTTTAGTGAGAGCTGGGAGCAGGTGGAAGAGATGCTGGAGAGACGGAGTGTGCTCTGGGGAGAAGGTGAATCAAAGTTAAGAGAAGCAAAACAATCCACTGTCATGCTGGTGGCATAAATCGCAGCTATGAGACTGCGATTCAAGTTTTTCTGTTGCCTGATTAATTTTGATTGCTGGTTTGGACCATCAAAACTACTCAGTGTGATTTTTCTTTTCTTTTCTTCTTCTTTTTTCTGGTTAACAGGTCTTGTAGCAACCAACCACATGATATTTCTAACCCCAATTACATGGGAGTGTCATTCAGAGGTGGGAATGTGATAGATAAAGGCTGGAGTTACAGCATGCCACCGCGAAATGTTCCCTGTGGTGGACAAGCCGGAAAAGAGCCAAAGAAGGGTTACGATGTGAGCACACGCAGCCCCACGGGAAAGCCTGCTTCTGTGTAAGTGTTAGCCTCTTTCTGGTTTGAAGACACTTCAGTTTCATTTCTAAAAATACCTCTAAACCTTTATCTGATCTGATTCTATAGAAAATGAAACCGATGTCATTAACTTATGATTTCTCTGACAGGGGTGAGAACGGAAAGACGTCAGAGATGTTTGACAACCCGTTGTATGGTTCAGTGACCAAATCACATGGTCGGTCTAAAGACCAAGACCAACAACAGAAGGACCTTCTCATACCCCCAGATGTGCTATTTGGATCCTCCAAAACAGCAGATGGAGATACCGATCGCCCTCCGGTGCCCACCCCACGCAACCGCTCCTTCACCTGCTCTGAGAACAAACCTCAGCCTCCAACACCAGTCAGCCTGCATCCCCCATCACAAAAGAAACCAGTGGTGCCCTCACGCTCAGAAGGCGGGATGGGCCTAAACCGCCCTCCTTTGCCTGCTAAGTCCCGACCGGGTGTGCCAGAGCCCCAGACCCCCAAACCAAGAGACTACAGAGACACCTCAGAGCTCACCAGCAAACACAGACCACCAGGAAGACCTGGTGAGTCTCGCAAAGACAGCAAGGAACCTACTCAGGTTTCCAGACAGCTATAATACACTAAATGACATCTCTTTGTCTTTTTTTGTGCATCCAGACGTTTCCAAGACGGGTCGCCCTGTGAAGTGAGACTGAGAGGTACAGCTTCCTGGCTGCATTTCTGGAAATATTTTTAAAAAACCCTTGTCTCTCATTTTAGAGGACAATCACATATCTGTGCTGTCATCATAGAGAAGTCAGTAGGCTTAGCTTTGCACCTGTCCAAAGGTCTAAAAAATTCATCTGCCTGTCATCCTCAAAAACTCACTTTGTAAGTTAGACTGAGCCGGGCTAGCAGTTCCCCTTTATTTCCAGTCTTTATGCTAAGCTAAGCTAACTAGCTTGTAGTTAGCTTAGTTATCTACTTATCTGAGTGCTAGTGAGACATTAAATGGGTGTACCAGTGTCTAACTCAGCCTTCAAATGTATGTAAACTCATTTTTTAGTTTCTTGGATTTCTGCAAAGCTCGCATTGGAACGTAAGTTTGAACCTGAAACCTGCTTCTAAATTAACTGTTACATTTCATTTGGAGTTTTTACACTATACAGTAGCTGATGAATGTTTACCGCACAGTATTATCTTGCACAGACATGTTTGCCTTTAATATGTGCAAATGATGCTCCAATGAATTCCAATATTAAAGCTTGAATTACATGTTGTGTGTGTGTTTTATGTCACGTCACAAATGACTGCTTTTAAAACTTGGAGTGTAGGCCGCTACAATCTGCTGCGAGGACCAGACCGGTCACACTGCAGTGATTTGCCTCCATCTGCTGGTCCCTAAAGGAACTGCAGGCAGTCTGAGACTTGCAATTTATTCAAGGGGACTTTCTGGCTTGGTGTTATTGGAAATACATCTACATTTTCTCTTTAATCATGACTAAAAAGGTGAGGTGGCACAGTTCCTGATGTGCACTTTTAGTACAAACTGCTTCTACTACTACGCCTCTTCATTGTCGTAAGGCTGCAGCCTGTAACCTCCACCCATCTCGCTTTTGTGCCTCTGCCTTTGCTCCTGTTCCCATCAGAGACCCAGCTATTGTAGCTCAGCCAGCACACTCATCTCTGATCAGCCTTTCTTCCTCTTTCCATCAAAGGGTCATGCTTACTACATGTTCTACCCACCTTAAAACTCATCTTTATTTCATGACACATGTTTACACACCCCAGTTCTTCTGTGCAGCTCCATGTTTGAGTATTTGTTTGGCTGGAAGATGCTGCATATTTGGGGAATAGTCACCAATAGTTATAGACATGGTTGAAGACATGCGTTGGTGTACATTGGCTGTGTTTTCTTGGTGTAGATGTTGAGGCTAACATCCTAGCCAGTTCTGTTGGTTTAGTTGGTAACTCTTTTGGAACTGGCTGAGGAGAAAAGAGCAAAGTCTCTGATGAAGTCCAAGTGTGTGAATGTACTCCACTGCAAATATTTTACACATATGTTGACTTTAAAATATGACTGAAATAACACCAGCGGTTGCTGAGTTTTCCACCCTGAGAATTTGAGAATTAGAAGGCCCTATCATGGTTTTCCTTACCTTTCATGTTATACAGTAACTGTCTGTAGTTGAAAACAAAAATCCCAAAATGACAAAGTTCAAGGAAAAATACAAATAAATTCTGAAAAAACAAATTACAGACAAACAAATTCATAATTACAGAAATGTAATTACAGCGACTATGGTACCAGCTGTCTTTGCATTGTGCATTTTTTTCTGCTAAATAAAATAAATAAATATAATTTAAAAGTCGTTTTTATTAAGTTCGTGTTTTGTTTTGTTTTTTTAAATTAAGGACCCACACCCTCTCCTAGAAGATGTAATTTGAAACTTTGGATGCATTAATTATAAACTTCCAACATATATTTATTTATTCTTTGGTTGCACCAGAAAAAGAAAAGTGTTTGTATTTTTCATAAGCATTTTGTTAATGTCAGCTGACAGTGTTAAACTTTTTTAAATTATTGTCTCTTTAAATTATATTTTATTTTATTTCACTGAAATATATTTTCATATGAAGTTTTTATTTATTTATTTATTTATTAATGTATTTTGGGGGAAATCTCAATAAAATTAAGTCAATTAGATAAACAACTGTGCAAGCAACGTTTCCCATGCATGAACGTTGAGCTTAGCTCTGTCGCCTCTGTGTGGCGAACTTTAGTAATTACACCCTGGTGTTTCTCAGGAATATTAAGGGTTTGCTACGTCATCGACAGGCGACGCGCCGCTAGGAGAGGGCAGCAGTAAGAATGGTAAGGAATCACGATGAAATTATGACTTTTCTGTAGAGTTTATAGCAGATAGGTGCGGCAGGAGAGAGCCTCTGACCCGAGCACACCTCGGTGTTTCTCTCTAACCTTTATTCTTTCAGCTTTAAAAAAAACAAAACAACCCACCGCCACGCTAACCGTGCAGCTAACGTTAGCATGTGTTTCTGCTCCGCAGCTTTTTTACTCGTTTTTCAAGTCGCTGGTGGGGAAGGACGTCGTGGTGGAGCTCAAAAATGACCTGAGGTTAGTATTCGTGTTCAATTCGCTCACATAACCTGCTGTTTTCCGGCCTGTGTTGTTTGGTCGGCGATTGCTGTTTGGAGCTTCGTTAATAGTCGCAGCAGCGCTCCTACAGTCACAATTTGAATATTGATTTTTTTTTTATTAGTTTTCATTTCATTGCAGCAGTTTTTAATACTTCTCAGCTTTAGTTCCGTTTTATTGCATTCTGCAATAATATTCCAACACAAACAGCTCACTCTCAGTCATACACATTCTCAGAAAGTCAAGCTAACAACATTTCCTGTGTGTTTTACTCTGTGGTTGTTCAGTTTGTGAGGTTAGAGTTCCAGGTTAGTTCGTTATGTTACGCACTTCTGCAATCAGTCATCAGTGAAAGGCCTTAGACAGCGATCAGTGGGCTCTGAGTCTCTATTATGAGCTCAGCACTGAAATATTTATTACGTATTACCGTAGCTGTCACTGCTTAAATGGAACTAATCTGCATGAAACTGTCGACATAAAACACAGAACGTTTTATTTCTTGTAACTGGTCACACTGACGACCACTGATGAAATGATTGTCGTGGTTGACTTCTTGTTGGAGATGATGTGGGGGGGTTTTCTGAATAAAATCTGAAGTGTCTTCAAACAGGATTGAAACTGGACTAAACGTAGCTTAAAGCAAGATTTTGAATCCAGGTTGCAGCCTGTCAGGTCACAGCCGCATAATTACATTTGTTTTAACATTACTTCAACTTCTGTATGTCGGATAAAAGTGAAGCGGAATAAAATGTTTTGTGAGATCAGAGTCACAAACCTGTCTGCTTTGTTTCCGTGTTGCAGTGGTGGTATCAGAGCTTTCTGATTGAACAAATTACAATGAGACTTTCTTGAACACAAACTGTTCCCTTCTCAGAGTTAAACTCTGGAGCAGGGTCCTGATGCCTGTCAGTAATGACGGTTTTAAAATAAAACAACAGGTTTGTGCTGCTGCCTGTCGTTTCCAGTACAGCTTCTAAAATATGTGCAAATTACTGAATATTATATTTTGGTGATAATTCTTATTGTTTCACCACCCAGACCTGTGGAAATAAATGTTTAAATACCCATAAATTAATCAATAACTGGCATGGAAATCCTGAGGTCAGAAAGAAAACCTCAGAAGTCGTGTTTGCTTCACCTGGGCACACCTGACTGTAAATTCCACCCAAATACCGATGAGCTGTTCCCAAGCCTCATAATCTAAAGATCAATTGAGCAATTTTGGTTTGTATTTGTGAACAGAGTCATGTTCATGAATGTGTGTGTTTCTCTCCTCAGCATCTGTGGAACGCTTCATTCTGTTGACCAGGTTGGAAATAATTCATTTGTTTTCAAACGGAAGCTGTTCAGTTTTTAAATTTCTGCACGATTGCTCACTAAAATGCCGTTTTCACATCGCTGTCCTCTGCTTGCGTGTTTCAGTACCTGAACATCAAGCTCACAGACATCAGCGTCACAGATCCGGAGAAATATCCACACATGGTAAGTTTTGCTTCTGGAGACTTTCCACATTTCATACAGGGGGAAAAAAGACTACAGAAACAGATGAGGCTGTCGCTGCTAAACAGGAGTTTACGGTTTTACAGTGTACAGAAAAAAAGGCTGTTGCAGTGTACTTACAAGGTTTTTAAGGTTCTGCTACAGAGGTCTGTACAACCAGTAAAAGAAACTACATTCTCTGCTGCTGTATGTGAGAATGTAGAGATGCTGCCCTTCTACCTGATGAATCTTTTGATTAGATGAATATTCCAGCGGTGAAAATTTGCACAGGACTTCTGTTTTCCACACAGAATGATGCATGATAAATAATTAGGGGCTCAGTTATCCCCCCCAAAAAAGACACACAGACAACAGCTCCTCTCGAGTTATACAAATATGTTTACACAAATATCTTTTACATTGATTGTGTTTTTCATCTATTATACACAAAGCTTTCAAGATTTCCATCTTTGTTTTCATCATGTATGTGAGCTCCATTTGCTGCTGCTCAGTTTTTAATGAGGTCAAGAGGAAAAACTAAAGTTAGATATTTTTCCCCGTGTTGTTGTTGTTATAATACAGCATCAAGAACATAAGTGTAAACTTTAGCTCCTTATTTAAAAGTTGCATAAAATCAGAGTTCGGACATTAGAAAAGGCCTTGAATGTGCACTCCTTAAAGCTCACCAGCAGCTCCAGCACCGAGTGACGGCTGTCTGTCTTCACACTGTTTTCATTTGCTGCAGCTGTCTGTGAAAAACTGCTTCATCCGTGGATCGGTGGTCCGTTACGTTCAGCTGCCGGCAGACGAAGTGGACACTCAGCTGCTGCAGGACGCTGCACGGAAAGAAGCCATGCAGCAGAAGCAGTGACGGGGCTGCGGGACGGGGGGTGGGGGGTAAGGGGAACAATGAATGGGTAGTTCTGGTTTTAGGTTAAGTTTGTGCAGCCTCTCTTTGTCTCTGAAAATGTGTCTTTGACACTGGGGATCAATCATTTGCAGTTTTTGCTTTCTTGTTATTTTTTTTTAACCTCACAGACGGTTTAGATGTCGTCGTTTGATCCCTTTTTTTGGTTTTATATAGAAATAAACTAATCAGAGAGTCCGGAGAGGAAACCTGCTGTGGTGTTCATGTTGATGATAACAGGCACGCTTTGCTTATCAAGTTGTGGCTTTTTTATGCCTCTTGGAAATAAACATTATTTTATTTATATTTTCATGACATTTGTGATTTATTTTTTTTAGGATGATCTTGGTGACATGTTGGAGGATTTGAGTTTTTGCTGCTGAAGAACTGTTTTTCTATTCCAGTATTTTTGAGTACTGGAGTGTCCACGTCAGATTTTCAGGGCTGACGATCACATTTAAGCTGTGCTTTAAAAACCGCAGCCAAAAATTTTTTGACCTACTCAAAGCGGCACAATTTAAAGCCAAAATTTTTTTGAAGTTTTTTTTCCAGCGAATAATCAAAGTGGTCAAACATCCAGGGTACCGGTGCTTGTTTCTGTTACTCCATGTCGCAGACATTAAACTACTGCAGGCTGTGATCTGTCCTTCCAGCTACCGAGCTGACTGAAATGAGCCTGTTACATTTTACAGAAGAATACTTTAATGGCTTTCATGCTGTGAGATGTTCAAATGTCATTAATGGTCATTTAAAAAAAAAAAACAAAAAAAAACAATTATGCAAAAAGGAGTTGGCCTGTCTGATCTCCTTCATGCTGTTGCTGTTTTCTTCAGCATTTTGGGCATCAAGCTTCCTGCAGCAGTACGTCTGTTTCTGTCCGTCTGCTGTTTTTCATAGGAGTATCAAACTAGTGATTACAACTGGGAAATTACAATCAAATTAAAGCATATTCCCATACAGCTTCCTCTGATCCTTGCACCACCAACACCAATGGCCTAATTCCAGTAAAAGCTTGCACGAGAGGTATACAGTACTAATGAATTTATGGCAGAAGTTAACTTTTTAAAAAATGACTATAGCACAGAAACATCCAGCGACTCGTTCACTTTCAGAGTTAAACAGTGAAAGTGTCAGGGGTAAGTTAGTGTTTCAGTTATTGACAGCTTTTATTTTTTCCTTGGTTTTAGATGGAAAGATCTGGCTGAGCCGTCCCTAATAATACGCGGATATTTAGAAGAGTTCAAAAGCCAAAAACAAGGTTGAAATCATCTCTTCAATCTCTTTGTTCGAGTCTGTGGCTGTAACCAGAGTGGAAGGTACAATCGTTTGAAATGTTACATGAAAACTGAGTGAAAAAGCCACGGTGAATACTTTCGATTAAGTTTACTGCCATCCTCGCCATCCAATTTCAGCCCAGTGTTTCAGGAACACCAGTCAAATCTGTGCCCGTAGATCGAGGGACATTCCTCATGAACACAACGTGAAAGAAAATAAAGCGCTCACTCTTTGAGTTAATACATAGAAATCCAATACCTTTATTTTACATTCATACATCTATAACGTTGTACAATAATTTTAATGCAGTTAAAAAAAAAAAAAAAATCCAATCCGAAAACAAGTCCTGAAGATTTACAATGATGAGTCTGCACGTTCAAAGGTTGGTGACGAGCATTTAAAAATATACACTCACACGCTCACACACAAACAGGGATCTAGGACAAGTGGCGTCCTTGAGTTGTACCTTAACAGAGCTGGGCTGAATGGAGAGGAATTCAGTCACCATAGAGAAAGGCACATTGAATACACAGTGTATCTACAAAAACAAAAAACCTCGACATTTACACGACTTTTACCGTAGGATCTAGAACAATGAGCAAAACTGTAAACCTTCACTTATGAAAAACAAATCAACCAACAGAAGTCACACCTATACGAATACATTTGAAGCAAAATGTTTTTCTTGGTCGTTACAAAGCAGTACCTTGAAATGCATTTCAACACTTAGATTGGCTCTGCCCGCAGAGAGCAATCCTACGGATATAATTACACAATATGTCACAATATTTATGCAGTTGCCCACTTCGTGCACGCCAGAACCCGACACCGGTTAGAGAGTACCTCATGCACATCCTCAGACAGCAGCAGACATCTGATATGTTTTACACCAAATCCAATTATTTATTTTTTAATTCCCCGCTCACGTGAATATGGCAACTTGACAACATGTACGTACATCTACATAAAAATCATGTATAGACAACTCTATACAGCCGCAAATCCCATTATCTTAAAATATATGTACCACCCGTCAAAATTTTCAATACTTTCAGAAAAGTAAGTTCTCTGATATAAAATACTGTTTTTTTCAAAAAAACTGATTGTTTACATTCCATCCTTCTCAACAAAATAAAGCTTTTTATATACGTACCTTCGAAGCTTAAAAACACTCCCCACATACATATATATATATTTATATCTATATAGAAACAATAAAGTGACTAAGACGCCATGTGGCTCTACGTTCACATGTAGTGGAAACCCGTTTAGAATGGCATACGCAGCCAATTTACATGTCTAATAAACACAGTGTGGCACTACAATTTTGGATGATTGTACAAGTTGGGGTTCATAAATGCCAAGGTCAAGATTGCCTCCTTTAAGCTGCTTCCTTCATCTGGCTCAGCATGCTTTCGTCAAGTCAGTGGGCATGTCTACTGTGGACATACGGTACTGGATCTTTGTGTTAGTGATGGCGCCGTGCTTCTGTCGAAGATGCAGCCGTAGCTGGCTCTTGTGGCGGAAGTGCAAGTTGCATTTTTCACACTGAAAAAGAAAGCGCAGCGGCGTTATTTTCACTCGCTTTGGTTGGACTCGACTCAGGAGGTTCCTAACTTTGAAGTATCATTCTTACATGGTAGGGCTTTTCGCCTGTGTGTATGCGGAGGTGGCTCTTCAGCGTCTGCAGGTGACGGAAGCGGGTTCCACAGATCTCGCATGGGTATGGCTTCTCGCCCGTGTGGATCAGCACATGAGCGCGCAGATGAGCAACCTTGAAGGAAAAAAAAAGAAAAAAAGTGGGAGTGAAACTTAAATTAAACTTTTCAGACATCGCATGTTTTATATCAGCACGTCTATGGGCACTCCTGTCGAGCTAAATATAATTACAGCTGCCCATAATTACAGCTCAGATTCGAGCATTAGCACGGTTAGCTGATAATACAATAGAGAGGGAACATTTTTTGTAAGACACTCTTGAGTTTAAAAAAATAAAATAAAATAATGTAAGGGCATAATTACCTGTACAAAACGAGCTCCACACGTCTCACATTTGTATGGCTTCTCTCCTGAGTGGATGCGAGTGTGAGTCTTGAGGTTAGCTGGTCTGTTGAACTGAGCACCACAGATATTACAGCGATACGGCTTCTCTCCTGAAAACAAGAAGCAGCCCTTTAGATTTCAGCAGCCCCTAAAGCCGATGAGTTAGATAAATGAGACTCGTGAATTGCTTTTACCTGTGTGGACAGTCTTGTGGCTGGCCAGGTTGCCCTTGTAGCGGAAAGCAGCCTGGCAGCGGTCGCACTTGTATGGCTTGTCGCTGTGTACTTGAAGCATGTGTTGTTTCAAAGCTTCGTCTTCAGCAAATTTGGAGTCGCATTCGTTACAGAAGAACGTGCCGTTTTCTGTTTAAGAGAAAAATCTGATGTTGACTTGTGCTCCGAAAGCGCTCAGATTCATTTTGGAGGTGAAAAGAAATCTCAAACTCACCACAGCTGGAGTCTGAATATTCTGAATGAAGCTCTGACATTTCCTCTGATAGACGGGACCTGGAGTGGTTGGGACAGACTTCCGAGTGCTGCGGGGACTGGGAGCCACAGGACGAGCATGTGAGGCGGTTCAGGTAGTGTGGAGGGTGGCCATCGCCATTCCTCAGAGACCCCTCAAGCGCACTGCAGACACAAAATCGAAAACTAATCCAGTCAGACATTTCAAATCAGATTCTTCCAACATAAATTTTATTACAAAAATAAAAATCCTACAACTATCCTGCCTGATATTTACAAACACTGAATTTCACTTCATGCCTGTTTTTTCTTATAATAAAAAGAAATTTTATGTGCTCATTAAGAATCTTAAAATCTGCCCAGTGTGTCATCACCTCAACTATACATTTCCTTGTTTTGTTTAAAGCATGCAGATGTGTACGTGTCAAACAAAAACCCACCTGTTAATGATGTTGTTGAGACGACTAGCCTGGGGTACTGGTAGATCCTCGCTGTTGCTCTTGCTCGTCGTTTGTGGGTCGAGGTTCTCCGAGTCGTTGGGGTGGAGGTAGGGTTGCAGGGCAAGGCGTTGAGGTGAGTGAAGCCCAGGATCCCTTAACCCCACCTTGTCCTCCTTGGCGCTCTGATTCAGCACAATGAACTTGTACTTCTTCCAGTTGCGAGCTTTGGGGTCCTGCGTGCCTTGTGGCGTTTGCGCTCCAGCAGCTTGGGAGAGGCTGGCGTTCTTGCTGCTGCTGGACTCTGTCGGGGAGTTGGGCTGGCAGTCTGATTTGAGGGGGCTCTGCGGGCTGCTCATGAGGCTCTTGCGTCCAGCGGAGATTCCCAGGGGATAGTGCTGATGGATGAGATCTTCCTCGGCCTGAGGAGCGTGCTCTTTGCCCAAGTCTTTCTGGTGCTCAAGGGACAACATGGGAAATGCACGCTTCCTTGTGCTGAAACCGACAGACTGGCTGACCCCCTCGTGGCTCTCTTTCCTCATCTCATCGTCTCTCACTACCTCCCTGGAAGCATAGGTGGTGGAGTGAATGATGCCGGAGGAGTTTGTGCCAATGGCTCTGCTGTAGTCTGCCCTGATGCCGCTGTCATGCGGAGGACAGTGCTTGTGGTGGATGCTGCTCTTTGAGAGGTCAGCAAAAGCATTTTTGGTATCGGCCAGCTTGCAGAGGGGGAAGGGGAATCCTGGCATGGGAAACTGCCCGTAGAGATGGTAGTTGCTGGGGGTGCTGACCCCGCTGAACATGTTTGAACCGTAGTGTCTCCCGTCCCTGAACGGAGCTACACGGCTGTGCAAACTGTCAACAACATCATGGGCTCTGTAAGCATGGACATCCTGAGGTAAAACCAAGGGACTGACCAGAAACTCGTCTCTAGGCAGCTTGACAGTCGGATCACTGTGAAGAGAACGAGGATGCCGTAAACATGGAGGTATTCATAACCATGGATTTATTCTTATCAGCAATTTAAAAAACACAAACAAAACAAAACTGGCTTCCACCCACCTAGATTTGATGAATCTGTGGCAGGTGTCTACAACGTGGTCCATCTGCAAGTAGATAGCTGTATTCATGATAGCCATGATCAGACTCTCCTTTAGTGTGAGACGGGAGGTGTACATAAACTCTAGCAGGATGGCAAAGCCCTCTGGGTCCACCTTTGGGTCCAGACTGATAGCGCTAAGGTTGCACTTGTGGGAGTCAGTGAAGATAGTGTAAAACAGCCCACTGCAGCAAACGAAAGGAGCAGACATGCAAAGATCAGTCGCTTGTTCAAAAGAAATAGAACGGCACAAACGCCGATTTTAGTTTCACACACCTGCAAGCCATGAGAACGGTCTTGTGTGCACGAAACTGCTGCCTGTTGACCAGGATAGTGACATCTGTGAGGATATCTCTACTGCGCAGCCGGTTCAGGTTGAGCAGAACATCACTTGCATGGCGCGTGAACTGTATGCAGCTGTCTGCTGCGCAAGCCATTTTGTCAAGTTCTGCAAAAAAAAGGGCAAAAGCATAAAGATTATTCTAATTTTTAAAAAAGAAAGCAAGTTTAAATAAAATATTCGTGTATTTGGCTGCCATGCCACAAAGAGTATGTGTGCTTCAAGTAGATGAACTTGGGCTCAAGCTACTGACGATCCTCCGAAGGCAGCACGCACATCACCAGAAGGCGGCGCCATTTATTAAGTAAACACTGTCTAGACATTTAAATTTCTTCTTTGGAGTCATTTCTCTCCCCCTCACTTTCTCTCTCTGAACCTCTGGTTAATAGCTCAATGCAACAAACTCCTTTGCACACGTGAGCATTTTAAGACCATCCAGACCTCCAGACGATATAAATGTGCACGGTTTAAATACACTCCACAGAAAGAGAAAAGTTCATGTTGGTCATTAAAACTTGTACATTTTTAAGACAAACACCTGCGCATTACGCATTAATGAGCTGTAAGATGGGCGTTGTGGTCTCAGAGTTGGGGCTCTCCTTCAGCGCATTCGCAGCTGTACAAATAAAAGCGAAATGACTAAGTTATTACTCTAAACTTTTTGTTGGCACACAAATAACCTCCAAATTTTAAATTCATCCGCAAGATGTCCTCACCATGGCACTTTTTTTAAACTCACACCGGTGCAGCTGGGAGGGTAACTTAAGTGAGAGTTTGACTTGTTTGCTGTGGTAAAACCGGTGAAGCCCCGCAGCGCTGCGCAGCGCATGTCTTTAAGCGCATTTCTGGGTCAATTACTGCACGAGAGCAAAAAACTAACATTTAATTAACTGAAGGAAGAACCGGCTTCACGAGACGGCAGGGGACTCATAACCGGATATTTACTTCAGTGTAACTAGACACGTCCGAAAATAGAACCAGAACAGAATGCACCTTAAAGTGACTGATGGCCAATCATGAAGTACTTTCTTCAGTACTTCCCCCCCTCCTCCTGTGAAACAGAAAACCTCCGAGGAGTATCACAGCTTTTAAACTTCATTTCAGTGATAGGACGCGTTTGTATTTATTTTTAAATCTAAAAATATCTATAGTTTTATTTTCATTTCTCGGGTCTCTCGTCTCAGACTGCGCGTAAATTACTGCACAACCGAAACTGCGCACGTCTGGGTGAAAAGCTCTCAACTCGGCGTAGTTTGGTTATCATGCAGCGAGCTGTCACAGTGGAAACATGAGAGACAACTTGTAGCCTCTGCCGCGGAAAAAAACCACACACACACACACACACTCAATCGCTCTCTCTCTCACACTCACACACACACCTTCCAACTCTAATATTTCCGCTCCAGTGTTACGGTAACAGCGGGGCTCGCTGTGCGCAGCTCTTTGCGCTCCATTAGAGCAAATTACGGAGGAAAAAAGAAAAACGCTGAGAACCTGCGGCTGCCACGCTGCCAGCAAAGTTCGTGTGAAAGCGCAGCGAGCCCACTCAAAGTGAATCACCGGGCAAGAGCGATCGCAACCGCCCGGACACCTGATTTCACGCGATCTCCGGGCGGCACACGCTCATCCAGCCCCGCCGTAGCTACAGCCTCCTGATAGGACGGGCTGTCAGCGCGAGCGTCGCGAGCCGGAGCTCAGCGGCGGCCGCCGCTCTCAGCCCCGCCGCCTCACTGCGAGCGCGCGACCGGGCTGAGAGCAGCAGCCGCTCGCGCTGTCACAGCCCGTCAAACAGCCCAACAAGCACACAAAGCACCGGCATACATGTCGAAAACAGCAGCAACAAATAACACATAACAACTTCGCGCCAAATTAAAGCAGAAAAAAATAATATGGAATTTAAAAAATCACCTGGTAGCGCTTTCCTAGAAACTTCTTGCATCACCACTTCTAAGAACCCCAGTTCTAAGAATCAGACGAGCACAATTCTCGGAATTTGAGCCCCGGACCGTACCACTCTCCCGGGGCAGGGGAGAGGGACCTCCCGAACTGCGAGTTAAAACAACCCGTTTCCAGAGCAGATATCCCTCCGATTTTCACGCAAGGCGGCTCTAACGGCGAGAAAACTTAAAAGCAGCGTTTAAATAAGCACAAAAATGTGTATAATTTTTTAAAAATTTGAACATTTAGCAGCCACATCCCCCGCCTTTTGGTTCGATCCGCAGTCACAGGACGTCGAGCAGGCGACGTCACCAGTTCCTTAAACCCGGCCCCCGAAATTCTCAGAACTAATTTATATTCCATGACTTAAGCAGCGCATCGTTTGGCTGCCCGTCGTCGCATTTAACACAGAGACCGTACATGTACAGCACACAGACAGCCCTCTTAATTAGGCCCATGCGGACAGGCTCGCTCCTCTCTATGTCCACGGTTCTTTTTTCTTTGTGGTTTCCTGCAGGTTTGCTGTGACCACATAGACGGAGAATACATCGAGTCACCACCGGGGTTTGTTGCAAAAGGAAAGCTTCGATAGATTTATTATTCACAAGTACTGTAGGCAGCCTGTTGAGCAGTGTGGATGCCACTTGTTTTGTTTTTGGGGTGGTTTTTTTCTGTCAGTTAATCAGATTTTTCACTAGGTAGGTTGAGAGTTTTTCTTGTGATATTCTCATGCGCGCATAGCGGTTTCTTGCACTGCCTCTGCCTTTTGGTTTTTGCTTTAAAAGCAGGTGAATCTGAGCGGATTGTCGCTAAAACAGCTGCTAGTAATTGAGAGCTTCGGTAAATGAACTTTGAGATTGTGTAGGAAACTTGCAGAAAGCATGAGGTGAGCTGAGGAAGAAGACTGCACAGGAGTGAATGCATTTATATTTTTAATAACGTTTTTTAAATTATGCGAGGAGGTGAGATGTCAGGCTCATAGGTGGTGTGTTTTTGGCGCTATTATAATGTTATAGACGGGGAACTTGTACTCTGTTTCATGCTGCATGTACTTGTCCTGTTTTTCTGATTGGATTACTGGGATTAATTGGGAAGGGGAGGATGCCTGTCAGGTGATGTGCACACTTTAAATGCAAAGTGAAAGATTCCTGGAAAATTAATTAAATGCATTGCTGTGATTTTCTTCCCCCCACTCTACTTTTTTTTTTTTTAATTTAAGGCATGTGTACTCCCTGTTGCATCATTTCACAGAGTTGGGCAAGAATAAACTCCTCAGCCTACTGGAAGTGTGTTTTACTTGGTGCTTTCCTCTCTGAAACCAGCAGCAGCACTTGGGCGTCTGCGTGAAACTAGAACCAAGTGTGTAGATTTGTTACATCCCTACATCGAGGGTAGAAGTGGTGTGAATTTATGCGCTTATTACTCGCTAATAGTTGGCTTCTGTGTCTCGTTTAGGGGATGCCAATAACTGAAAAGTACTATTCATTTCATGAGTTTGTGGGCTTGCATTTACTGTCAGTGACTCACCCTGGAAACTTTGCTTGTGGTGATTCCAAACCACGGATTCCCCATCTTTTCTCATCCCGTTCACTCCTTGGCACAGAAGGAGCATTTGCTGAGCTGGAGAATATAACACAAAATAACAGTAATTATTGGAAATATTAGGTCGAATGAATAACAGACTTATGTCTCCTCGAAAGAAGAGACACAAGTCTCCAAGTAATTCACATTTGTGGTTTCTCTTGTGTTTTATGAGATATATAGTGGGTAGCACTGATTAAATATTCAAATAATGCATCTGATCTGCATTTGCTGTAAATATTAAAGGGCAAAGAGTGACTGAAGATCCATTTTAGTGGAACATACAGCTGTGTTATGTGGATTTGTATTTAATTTATAAAGCCTTGTAGTCTATCTTTTACATTTTTGTAATTTAATGCATTTGTATAAAACTCAGAGTTATTTTACATGTTTTTTCTAACTGTCCACAGGTCAAATTTTTCTGAGAGAAAATAGTTTTAAAATATCTGACACCACAGATTGCTTTTTCACAGCCCTTTACCTCTGAATTCAGCGAACAACAAACTGCGTTTCCTTTTCTTTTCCTTCTTTCTTTGTTTTTTTATTAACCCTTTGCATGGCGACACACTCTGTAACCATCATTTCCCCGTGGATTGCCCGAGCATCCACCCATCTGGATCCGGCATCCCACTAAAAACACTCCAGGTGTTCACAAACCATTGGGGAAAGGGGGGGGGGGAAAGTCTCCAAAATAATTAAGACGCGCGCTTTTACAGCAATCTCCGATTCAGCATTGCCAAATAAAGACTATGTTGAGCTCCAAACAAAGAGCAGCGTCAACTTTATTTCAATCCACTTGGGGGATGTTTAAGGCGCTCCAGCACAGTTATGCATAATGCACGGCCATAAACCATCCAGGAGTTCGGAGAGAGATGTGTAATTTACCAAGGCCCCATGCTGTGCCCGGCTATAGAAGGAAGAGATAATTACTGCAAATCCTTGGCAAACTTTTACTCAACCAGTTCCTAGCAAAAATAAATGACCCACTTACAGAGGACAGAGAGACAGTGCTGAGTGGCTGATCAATATGCCCCCGTCTGAACTGATAGAGAGTGTATTATCGCGTTATGAACAGTTTATCGGTTAATCCTTGATCTTCTTTCAGGCTGTACAATTAAACAAGCGTTCGTGACGTCTGGGTCTCGGCTCCTTTGTCTGAGCACCACGCCGTTCAGAGACAATATAAACAGGCTGTGACAGTGATTCAAGTCTGACCGACCGGTAACAGCTGCACATTTTAAAAAAAAAATCTTGTACACTTCTGACACAATGTGAAACGTCTCTAAGCCGTATCATTGCCTATACTTGGAGCATGATAGGTCATTGAATAGAAATGCCCACTGACAAAAGCCTGAGGCCCGGAGGTTGCCTCACTTTTTTTTTCATAAACTGCACACTTTTGTCTCGTTTCACAGCAAATTTCTGCCAACTTCAGTGTTCATTGTCAGCAAAGATGTGAGTGTGGAGTTTTGTTCTGAGAGGCATGATGCAACCGCACTGTAACACCAAACAGATAATGCTGTTAGCTACAGAGGTCTTTTTAGTTCCTTTCTTTAAAAGAATTTCTTTTTATATTGTTGAGTTTCACTTTTTTAACTCCATGCATCCCAGAAGCATTTTTTTTTCTTTCTGCATTTGTCCACAACTAAGTTTCTCTTTGTAAAACACAATCACTACTGCAGGTCTGAATTGTGGCACGACTGCAGCGTGGCAGTAAAAAGGGTTTGTTTTCCACATCTTATTGTATGCATTTGTACGTTTTCCTTGATCCTCCGTTTGATGAGGTGATCGTAAACACACCGTACTGCATGCATGATTTACAGCAACATGAGGTGTAATAAATAAATTCACTTCAGAAGACTTCCTGTGCAGGTAACGATGAGCTCACGTTGCTCAGAATCTTGCCTTTTGCTTTTTTAATTAACAGACGAGTCATATTGTGACGTGAAATCATGTCTGTTTGCAACAATACTGCCGCGTGTGTCTGCACTCACACGCTTGAGTTTGAACGTTGCTTTTTGGTGCCCCTTGACAAGGTTAAACGCACGTGCGCGCGCACACACACACACACACACACACAGGAAGATTACCAGCAGCTCAGAATCACAGAGATAAAGAGCTTGCAGACGTTCACATTTATCTAAAAGGAGAACAATTATTATATGTTCATGACAAAAAGCGATCATGAGCATTTTTGCAAATGCATTTTATTCAAAGGGTGCTTCCTAAATAGTCATCAGTGTACTTTTTACACTGTTCAACAGAGGTCCTGAAAAGCTTTGAGAAAGATTTTTTTTGTCGTGTTATTTCCAAAACAAAAATATCATTCCACTTGCAAGAAAAGTAAGTTTTGGAGCAAGTTTCTTCAGTGCGCCTATGTGGATAACCTTGAGTTCACTAAGCAAGCTACATGCTAAGGTTATAGTCAGAGCAGAGGCGTGATGGTAGGCCAGAATTCCAATTTAGTCATATCAAAGCATGTAGATTCAGGACTTTCTCAAGGCCAGCCGAGAGGAGCCAGGAATGCAGTCTGCAGAGTCGAACTTGTTGGAATTTTCCACACATACCGAAAACAGTCTCCTGCCAGTGTGCCATCTGCTGGTTGATGGGTCAGTTTCTTCCACGGAACATGAGAATAAATAGTGGAAGCATGCGGCAATCTCTACCATCTTCACTTATCTTCACAATCTGAGGGCTTGCATTTTTTTTCACACGCCCAGGGCTGCAAAGCGTTCGAGTTCCATGTGCACATGAGGAGTTGTTAAATTTGGAAACAACTTTTGCAGACATTACATTTCAAAGCCTTGTTATGCATCTCCATGTGGATTCAGTTTTGTATTTTAATAGAGGTATCCGCATTCTGACAGGCAGCTTTAGCACAAGGATTCAAATGGTAAACAAGTGGGTCTTATTTCTTTGCACCACCCTCCGTAATGATCCAATAAGAACCATCTCTCTGAATCGACCCCCCTTTCCTGCTCTACTGTCACAACACCTATTAGTTAGCATCAAGCTGTAGATCTTGGTATGCTGGAAGTGCACTGGAAATTTTTCAAGGCTCCTTTCTCGTATCGCAGCATTTTTGTTTTGTCTGTGTGTTCTGGCATGTGCACTGGATTTATAACCACTGTACTCCCAAACAGATAGATAAAAAAGATCAGCTTTTTGAATGCAAACTGACCTAAACACTGACAAAATGAACAGAAGATCTTCCTGTTAAATACTGACACAACATTTGGCTGCTTCTAAGATGTTATCTACTCCATTTTAGGCTTTCTGTTATTTTAATGTTCCCACTATAACCTCAATAAGCAGCTTCTTACTAGAAAAAAAACTATTTGCTGTGCCATGCAATATTGTCAGGTTTTGATCACATTATACTATTATTTTAATGGGCCTGTTATATTTTCAATTGAGTCTTACTGTAAGAAAATTACAGCTATTTGCTCCCTAGAATATGAGTCCTGTGGTATCATAATATGTCATTTCTATATTTCTATTATTATCTCAAAAAACGTTTTCTTTCAATAAAACAACGACAGTAATTTGCTGTGTAAAAATGCGAGCTTTAAAGTGCTGCTAGTTGTTGAGTTGCTGTTAAACTCATTTCAATGTTCCAATAAAATTGCTGTAATTTCTTACTGTAAAGTCATGGTTATTTATTATGTACAGTATAATAACATCAGTTGTTTGGTTGTCATTATACAATTATTTTAATGCTTATTTAAGGTATGGTAATTTGCTGTATATAACAGAAGCGTTACAGTGTAGTAGTGTTAGTTATTTGGTTGTTTTTCTTTTGTTCCTGTTCTGATCTTAATAAACTGTTTTTATTTGAACACCTTTTTGGTAATCTGCTGTATAGAATATAAGTTTTACAGTTAGTCGAGCTCATGCGAGTCTCATCAGAGAAGAAATGCTGAATTGTAACATAAAAATCTGCACATGCACATAGGTTAATGTTTTCCCCTCAAAGGCATCAAAATGCACAGAATTCCACTGTTTTACATCAATTTAGTTAATTCCACATTAAAATTTAATGTTGCATGAAAGAAAAGTAACTTAAGTTTATCTGATTGGGATGCGGTGGGTAGGGAAGCACTGCTGTGCTGCGTCTCTGGAAAACACCTGCTTCTGCAGTTCAGCATATTAATTTCACACTGTGATTGGACATAATTGAGACATTGTTCAGCTCTTTGGTGACACAGTGAGAAAACACAAACACGCTGTCTCAGCTAATGGCAACCAGTGATTTTAGTGTCTCGTGTTAAAAGCGATGCACTGTAAACAGACCTTTGTAAAAATGCCGAGCGCACAGGTTCAGAACGATTAATTCCAACCATGCTGTTCTCACTGTTTAGGCAACAGAGGTAATATTTGGAGTGTATTTCCACTGTGCTGATGGAATCTTCCCCTGTCAACAGGTTTGCGGGGATGTAAACGGTCCGGGCTCAAAGCTGCTAAACCAGTTTGAATTCTTGTGAATGTTCTGAATGTTCACTCCCACTGCACAGCGACGCTAAAGCGTTTGTCAAGTAAAAGTAAAACTGAAGGGGAACACTCAGTGGGAGCACTGCTGCAAACATGAGTTTGTAGAAATTCACTCCACACAGATGCAGTCGCAGCAGTGTGTTTTGTTAGCGGGGACTGAGCTCTCACGTCGCCCCCCACTCCTCCCCCATTTAACTGTTGCAGCTCTGCCTTTGCTGGTTTTTCCTCTCTCTTGCCCTCACACTCCATCATGCTGCGGCCCAATTTTGATTTCCACCATATCAAATTCTCACATGTTGCACTGCTTCCACTGCCAGGTCAAAGTAGCCGCCTGTATCCAGTGCCAACTGCTGATACTGGTCTACAGGACTGGCTAAACAGGAATTACACACACCTAGCTCTAGGCCACAGTTCAACAAGAGCTACGTACAAAGCAGCAACAGTGCACTCAACGCATCCAGCACTTCAGCTCCTTGTCTCTGCTGCTTCTGTGCTAGAAAACTCCTAAAATATGAATGCAGTCCTGGGTAAAATTCTTGTTAGACTAATATACATTTTTAACTACCTCAAATCCAGATATGGGAAGTCACTGCGGTTCCAAATATAAAACGCCTTTCATTATAAACACAGGAGCTTTGACATTAGCCTTCATGTTTTGGTCGAGAGTCCACATCCGCATTCATTGTTGCCAGCCTGTATTTGTATACAGTTATATTTTTATATCAGCTTTTATGTGCTATCCTCCAGTCGAAGCAGTAAATGGATTTAAATCCAATGTGGAAACGTGGGATGAAAGCAATCCCACCAAGCCCCAGAAATCAGAAAACTCTGGGTGCTGACGTGGATTCAAGTGGAAGATAATTCCAGCATTTAATGTAAATAAAATATCAAGGAAAGTATCATGCATAATTTATTAATGCACATTTACATTTCAAATGTTAATATGCAGACAAAGAAAGTGCCATGACTCTTTTTTTCCAGGCAAAGCTTAAAAAAGTATGTGCAAGTTTTCTCAAAATGTGTTTCATTTTCTCACAACACTGACTGCCTCATCAGCACCCACACCCAGTTAATATATAAAACTAGACAGCTCTTTGTTCTGAATGATTAAAAAAGAAAAAAAAAAAGAAAAACTCCCACAGATTATTTTTGCTGGGAAAAAAAAATCTGCTCCTATAAGCGTCACACCTCATTAACCATTTGATCGAGTTCAAAATAAAGGCTCTCTTTTTTTGGCAGTGAATGCATTTTTGATTCAAAGTTAGTAACACTAACATATACTGCATCCCTTTGTGCCTTCATTAAAAGCATCTCCACAGCCCAGGAAATGCCAGGTGGAAGTTCATATTGTGACAGATCCTGCGCTCGACACATTCTTATAATTGTTATCTGCTCTACATCACACACACAGCTACCTTTGATATCTGCTGCACTCTCAGAGATGCTGTGCTCTGCATGCACGGGACCACAAACAGTTCTTAGTACACATCACCACATAACAGAAAATTACATTTTCCAACCAAAGTGTGGATTGCACCGAGCACTAACGTTCTTTTAACTGTAAAACAAAACATTACACCCAAGAGTTTAGCTTTTGCAGAACATAGATTTATCTAAACCACTCACCTTTGTTTTGTTCTGTGTCCTTTGTGCACTCACGAGAAGATTTTTGGAGTCTACACTTGGCATGAAAATCAAAAGTGAATCAAAAAGGTCCCTGAAATTGTTCATATCGCATCTTTGCTTGCGCTAAATGTCTATTTTACATGTTTTTACATATTGCAGATAAAAGCTGTGAGGGCATTATTTATTGGAGTCGGTACTTCCATTTGCTTATCAGATGTCAGTTGTTTTATCATGACCTGCACTCACTGTATGTCCTTTTTTGTTACTTTGCATGGTTGTTCATATTGTGGCTGCGCAGACAATTCAGCAGTATATTGATTTGATCTCAGAGATTAACTGACTGACATGAAAGATATATGGAAATTTATCAATACAGGTGTTAGCAAACAGTTTCTGGCCTTCCTGTCAAAGTGTTTGGCTGTCTGCCATCCTGCTGAGGTATGATGTTCTTACTTTGACTTATGAATGATGAATAAAAGGGAAATAGTTTCAATCAGGTTAGCTCGTCCTACCTCAGAAGCCAAATTAAATACAATTAGAAGATCCAACAAAGGAATTTAGTTTATAATGATAACTTAGCAAAATGCTAAAATGCTATTTCATATGCTTGTAATGTTATTTCTTAACCTGTTGGAATATCTTTGTCTCTTGTACGATGGACAAAAGTAAATTAGCATTCAACAGATTCAGAAATTTCAAATACATTTCAATTAATTAAAAGTTTGCTGATAATTTCTTCCCTTTTCAGCAAAGCTACAATCGTCATTCATTAACCAGCAGCAGCACACAGTTTTTTCTATTTTTTACTCACCTTTTTTCTGCTGGAAGGAGTGAGGCATGATGGGATGTGTAGTGGGAATCAGGTGGCAGTGCTGATTTTTGAACTGCACGCTCAGTTAAGGAACCGGAAGCGCCTCTGCTGTAGCTTGAAGAATTGTTTTCACCAGAGTTTTATTTGTCTGGCAAGTAGCTGGATGATCCGGGATGCTGAGGCAGACCGGTACCAAAGCCTCGCTCCTGAGTCGCAAGCAGCCAAAGCTTGAAGGGATGAAGCTGGAAAAGGGCACCGAAGCGGTGAGTTGTCGGTGATGGAGAAGCTCTGGCGAAGCCTCGTGTCTGTCGTTGTGGAGCAGGATGGGAACGCTTCTGGAAAGGCAGGCACGGCAGTGGGGCTGAAGTGAGTCAAATCCACTGAGCACGCTTCACGTTAGTGAAATGGTCCACAGGGCATCTCTGTGGCTCTCTGAGCTGATAGGCCGCCTGCACTCTAGCGTTCATTGATTGTAGCACTCACAGTCGCTCCACTTTTCCACGAATGCTAAAACCGTGGGGCAGGCTCAGTTTTGAAAAAAAAAAAAAGAGAGAGAGAGATTAACAGCCTGTAAAATAATCCCAGTTTTCTATATATATTTCATTTGAATGAAGAGTCTTAAATCCCATTAAGCCATAGCAGCACAAACCATAGACTAGCAGTGCCTTTAACATGGAGGAACTCGGGCCATCTGCCAGATCAGTTTTTCATATAGGGCAATGACACATTGTTTTATAAACAGAGCTTTTATACAACAGACATTTCAGTGTCCCGAGCATTAATCTACCTAAGCTTATCTCAATCCATGGAACTAGATATTGCTCTTTATAACTTGTCTACTGGAGGGGGTGTTATTACATCACACCAGCTGTCACTCCAACACGGCACGCCCAACAGGAAGGTCAGCAATGTTTCAGCAGGAGACAAAATTAGGGAGCAACGCCCTGACAGGAGTAAGAAAAACCCTGATATTCATCCTAAACTGTTTTTTTGTTTGTTTGTTTGTTTTTTGTCATAAGGTACTAGCAACTAATGTATCTGCATCTCATTAAAATGTAATCATCTGATGGCAAAAGCACAACACAACTGGTGCTTGATGAGGTACTTGTGAGCACGAAATCCATACTGTTAAAAGCATTTTGCCAAATGCATGTGCATCAGTTCTAATCGTACTTGACACCTGATGTTGAACTCAGATTAAATGAATACACATGCTGTCTGTGCAGATAAGCTCACCTCACCGGGTAAGAACTCCCAAAGCTCTTACCATTACCAGCATTACATGCTGCACAGCTTTACTATGTCAGCTGCAGGCAGTGTGTTGGATAGAAATGCTATCATCTTTATGGAAAGGCGTCACGTGGCTACATCAGAATGTGCACTTCTATGAGCAGAAGAAACTAAATATCAGAGAAAAAGCAAAAGATATACTGTATTGGGCGTTTGACAGATCTATCCACGTTCAGTACGTTCATCGCAGCCACGGGATAATCCACTGGATGAGTGGACTAATATTCAGCCAATCCTGCTAAAGCCAAATTAGTCCAACACATTTCCATCATATTTCAGAATAAAGCAGCCCTAACAATCTGAGCTCTTGGGATACTGATGGCAAATGACCGGTGAGCCCTGCAGATCCCTGTGATCCAGGGATAAACTTCCCATGAAGAAGCCTAAGCCTCTTAAGTGATACACAAATGAAAGCCAACAACAGGTCACACCGACTCAGAGGAAAACTTTGATTACTGTACTGTCCTCTTCCTGTCACTGGCAGCCCCAGTGAGGCGGAGAGAACCTGGGCAGCATCGAAGGAACAAAACAATAAAACAACATCAAGACTAACTAAGGTCCAAGCGGTCACCCCCCCTCTTCTTCCACCCTGAGGCTTATAAGAGGATGGCTTCTGTTGAGCAGTGTATGAGTGACCTTAATCATAGGGGATATTTGGGTTTTATTTGGCAGCGATGTAACGCACGCGGTCATCACTGCGTTCGACTGGCAGGCATAAAAAATGAGAGGGGGGCAAGGTCGGTTTGCAAAGTGTAATCCATATCATCCCGTTACAGAGGCTGCACATGCCGGTCGCTCCGGGCCAAACAGCATCAAACACATTTTGATGCTGATAATGATGTCGGATTATGCTGTCATCTGATGTAATTTCGGCCTGCATCAAATTAACAAAAGAGGGATCAACCGAATTCTTTAAAAGAGGCCTTTTTAAGTTGTTGTTGCAACCTTCTAGATGCAAACTTGAATTCATTTCATGTTTATTTTTATCCAGGCAAACTTATACATAACATATTTCTAGCTTGGCCTTTCCCTTGGAAATATAAGATCATCCTCGCCCGCCACAGCATGCCTCGCAGTGATTCTTATCAAGACTTTATATGAAATATTTTGACCCTGCTCTGTCTGGAGAAAAAATTTACACCTGCTTTATTTTCCAAAAAAACCCCAATTTAATTAAAACCCTTAGTACTCCGAGAAGAGCAGCTTGAATTTGTAGATAATTACCAAGCCTATCTATCAAGTGTGTCACTGTCATATTAATCATTTTTAACACTTAAAGATCTGAAATGTCTGATCTCCCATAAACGGTCCCCAGCATTGCACCGGTGCAGTTTCCTGGAGCTGTTTCAGGATGTTTGTGTTTCAGATAACCTTTCTAAAGGGAGTCGACTGCAGGTAATTATCACGTAAGCGAAGGAAAATACCTGCTTGTCATTTTCTCTTACCTGCTATCACGTTTTTCACATCTGAAATCTAGCTCCACTAGCAAGCAGCCTTTGTTGTGCCGACATGGAGCTTCCATCGCATCCATGGCTGTCGCTATCAGCTGTAATAAAGGTCACAAGAGCCAAATATAGTGCTTTGCATTAGCTGGCATTTATGGAGTGAAGAGAAAATACAGTGAATGACCCACGCAACGTGTGACAGGTGATCTGAAGTGACAGTCTGGGATTGTCTTTCTTCATGTAAACACACTTAAAAACAGATGTAACCACACTGTGATCTTCAGTGTCAGGGATACAATTTGAGGGATTACCCCTCAATAGCCAAGACTGAGGTATAATTTGTTAGCAGAAACCGAGCCTCATCCCTCAGGAAACATATTAAAGTCATCTGGATAGCTGCTGTATTATTATTATTATTTTGGGCATTTTCAGTTCAAACTGAAAATCATAATAATAGTTTTAAAGCCAACAAGGAAAAGCTCCTTATGTCCTTCCACCTCAGCTACTCTGCAGTTGAATTGCAGCCCATAGGTAAAGTGTGGAACATCTATGATGTGGATCATTATTGTGGTTTGGGCGGGAAGAGGGTCATACCTGTGTGTTTTCTGAAGGAAATCCCTTTTTGATTTGTCAAAATCGCTAAAACTAAAAAGCGATTTTAGTTTTACAAATGACATTATGTACAAAAACATCACTCCACTCGTGTTGGTTTCACTTGCCAGGATGTAACCTGCATGACCTAAAAAGTGACCACAATAGTAAAAAGTAACATGGCCATATATCTTATTCCAGAAACAAACTTGAAGAAGACACAACTGTAATGTTTCCTTGTTACATTAGTATTATTCTAATTTGTGTAGTTTTTTTTTGAAGCTCAAAGTGACCATATTTTTTTTTAAAATAAGCTAGCGCTAACTAGCTAGCATCATTAGCAAGCTGCATTCCTGAACAGCTTGCAGGTGCATTGCACAGACACTGATGCTACAAACTAACAGACTGATGAAACAGTAGAATTTCACTCACCAAAACTGAAGCACAAATCTCTTACAGGGTCTGTGCCGCACAGCAGCCATATAATTTAGCACATAACTGAATAAAAATGCTTCACAAGGCTAAAAGACCAGAAGGCCAAATTTCAGGTTCATTGCTGTTTTTGTTTGGAATCAGAAAGCATAAAACGGACCTTATAAAGTCAAGCCTTTTATGCTAATTGCTATTGTTTAACTGAAATACTGTGCTGCTGATTAGTTTGAATACTTGGTTCATCCTTGTGTGATAGCCAGGCGTTACTGGGCAAGTGGGGGAACCCTTGGATCTGTTGTTGCTGCGCAGCAGGGGAAACTGAATTGCCACAAAATAATTTCTAAAATGTATTTTTTGCTGTGAACTGCAGTGGACCTATTTTCTTTGTGCACAGAAGAGCTGGGTTGCTGATGCTGCTGCACTAACGGTTTGCTGCTCTCTGTGGATTTAACCCGCTGCATTTTACAATATATGTACAGCTGTTACATGACCTATCATGGCTGCTGTCCAACCCCTACACTATAAATGTGGAATAAGACCAGTGATACTAAAGAGCATCATCAGATTAATTCAAACTGCTGCCCCTGACCTTGGTTACCATGGACATCACAGCTTAGCCTACTCATACTGCACTCTTTTAACTGTCCAGGACTCTCAAATGGCCAAAACGATTAACATTTAACTTATTATAAAATAAATTTCACAATCTAATTAACCAGGTAACACCAACACTTTATTATCTACATATTCATTACCTGATTTTATTTATTTATCAAATTCAAGCCAATCAGATGCCAACGCCAGCTCTTCCTGGCCATCTTAATCTTTTTAAACTTAACATTTTAAGTACTTAAAATTTTTTTTACATGTTTTTCAAACTGCCTCTAGAAAATTATGTCACGCTGTCAGTTTCTGTTTCTCACAAATTTTATTTTTTTGTCTTTTATCCTCCATGATTTTCTATCCTATCAGCTTTTCTATTCTTTTACTGTAGACAAACAGCGTATGAATGATTAATGAGACTGTTGCAGTGAGGAAAATGTGAAGCTTTGCAGGGTTTCTGAGTGAACACAATGAACAAACAGTGACGTGTTGTAAGAATACTTTGGTGTATTAAATCCAGCTTTGTCCTGCTTTTGAGGTAAGTGATTACGATCTTTAAGCAGGCCTGAATGTTAACTTCACCTATCCTATTGTTGTTTAGTTTGGATGTTCTGTTGTTTTTACACAATGCCCTCAGATTTTAGGAATCTCCCAGTTACATTCCTACATGTTTGGAGTTTCACAGCACAAAAACAACAGCATTGTTTGTGGGCCGAACATGCTGGATCATCGTTATTACATCTGAGACAATAAGGCATTCCAATCTTTGCAAACTGAGCAGCAAAACAAACCTCCAGCTGCTGAATTCAAAAACTTGGAGCTGCACAGGATGAGCGTATTGGGAGTTGTTTTTGGAACAAGCAGTCGTCTCACTCGTCCGGCCTGTGCGACTTTCTCCTCTGTTTGCTTTTCTTTTCTCTGTGTATTTAGATGTTCATTATACACACATGACACCTCTGCACCTGACAGCCTCCAAACATGCTGGCATGTTGGATGTTGTAACTTTATGGAAAAACAAAAGACTCATTCTTCCTCTTGCAAATTAAAAGCTGTTCATTGGCAAAAAGAAAAAAAAAAGTTTCTCTTGTTCAGTCAAGTGCACGATAATTTTGCTGGTACAGACTTTTTTGTGTGACACAACTGATTATTTGTGGTGGCAAGCACTTGTCATCACAGATGCA